TGTTCTTGTTGCTTTTATGGAAGAGAGGATTTTTGGAGGCCTTTATTCTGCCATTCCTGATGTTATCACCCTAATTGTTTCTTAAACATTTAAAAATATTCTTACTTTTTCTTTCTTTTAAAAGTTTGTTTTTGTTTTTTGATTTTGAACGACTCGCAAGAAGTTGGAAAAAGAGTACAGAGAGTTCCTATGTACTCTTCACCCAACTTCCCCCAATGATAAATCTTATAAAACCACAGTATCTTAGCAAAACCAGGAAATTGATGTTGGTATAGTACTATTAAGTTGACTGTAGATGTTATTAGAATATCACCAGTCTTTGCATACACTGTCTTTTATTGACATGGTGGTGGTGTGTAGTTCCTCGAAATTTTATCATGTCCAGATTCCAGATTAACACAATTAGGGTATTAAACTGTTCTGTCACCACAAAGAAACTCCTTTGTGTTATCCCTATATGGTCACACCCTCCCCCCCAGCCTTAACAGTTGGCAACTCTTGATCCGTTCTCAATGTAATTTTGTCATTTTGAGAGTGGTATATAAATTGAATTTTACAGTAGGTAACACATAAATAAGGCTTTTATTTTCACTCACTACAGTGCCTTTGAGATCCATCCAAGTTGTATCATAGTTCATTCCTTTTTAATGCTGAATATTAGTCCATTGTATGGGTGTACCACAGTTTGTTTACCTAGTTACCTATTGAAGGACATTTGGGTTGTTTCCAATTGTTTACTATTACCAGTAAAGCTGTTATGAACATTTGTGTACACATTTCTGTGTAGACTTAAGTTTTCATTTCTCTAGGATAAATATCCAGAAGTGTGATTCCCTAACTTATTTTTATGTTGTCTGTTTTACTAACTACTAAAAGAGGGGTGTTACAATTAACTAAGACTGTGAATTTGTCTATTTCTTGTGTTTCTCTCAGGTTTTTTTTTTTTTTCAAGTATTTTGAAGGCATTTATTTTGTTTCTTGGTGAATTGACCTGCTTTTATCTGTTTTGTTTTGTTTTGTTTTTTGCGGTACGCAGGCCGCTCACTGTTGTGGCCTCTCCTGCCGCAGAGCACAGGCTCCGGATGCGCAGGCTCAGCGGCCATGACTCATGGGCCCAGCTGCTCCGCGGCATGTGGGATCTTCCCAGACCGGGGCACGAACCCACGTCCCCAGCATTGGCAGGCGGACTCTCAACCAGTGCGCCACCAGGGAAGCCCTGACCTGCTTATTTTTATGAAATCATTTTATATCTGGTGATGTCTGCCTTGTTTGCTATTAATATGGCCACTGTAGGTTTTTTATGATTAGTATTTGCATGGTATGTCTTTTTATCTAAGCTTTTTGTTTTTAAACTCTCTCTGTCTTTATATTTAAAGTGTATCTCTAGTAAATGGCATTTTAAAAAGTCCATTGTGACAGTCTTTATTTTTCAGTTGCAGTGTTTATCCATTTACATTTAGTGTGACTACTAATATGGTTGGGTTTAAGTATACCATCTTTTGTTTTCCATTTATCCTGTGTGTTATTATGTCTTTCCTGCTTTTTTTTCCTAAATTGGCTATATTTTAATTTTTCATTTTATGTTGTCTATTGGGTTTTTTAGCTATACCTTGTTGTGTTGTCATTTGGTGATTGCTTTAGGAAGTGCAATATTCATTTTTAACTTAGCACAACCTATTTTGTTGTTGTTGTTGTTGCTTTCTTTTTGGCCATGCTCTGCAGCTTGTGGGATCTCAGTTCCCTGACCAGGGATTGAACCCGGGCCACGGCAGTGAAGGCCTGGAATCCTCGCCACTAGGCCATCAGGGAACTCTATTACAACCTATTTTGAATTAGTGTTCTATTATTTGACCTTTGACATAAGTACCTTTAAAATTTAACCTTACTCTGGACCCAGTCCTGATCTATGGGAGCCTGAGATAAGCAGCAGTCTGTTGATAGAAGTTAGAACCTGGAATCGAAAAATCCCTCAAGGCCCTTGTGATTAGCATATGCTAGCCATTGAGAATAGAAATGTAATGAAGGTTAAAAAAAAAACTTTACCTTTTATTTTGAGATAAATTGATTGAGATAAAGTACAAAGCAACCCTTAAAATGGATTAAAAGTTCATCAAGGAACTTAACAGAATCTAGGGAGGAGGAATGAGTAAAACTAGGAGGTGGGCAGCAGTGCCTTAGTTTATAGGAGCTGTCATTCACATTGTGAACTGCACCCTTTGGAGTTGTCCAGGGGACAGCCTGTACACTTTTACATGGGAATCCTTAGGTACGAGTTGGGCAGAAAAGATTTTCTAAGAGAGCTGGAATACAAGAAATTTTAAAAAGGTGAATGGGCATTTGCTAGGCACAGAAGTATAGGGGAAGGACCTTACAGTCAGTCTTTTTCAGGGCACAGTGAGGTATTATGATTAGAAAATGGATTGTATGTGTTAGAATGGTGAGAGATAAAGTTAGAGAGGCACTGTATTTCAGTGATTGTAATATGCACATTTCTTCACATTTTAACATCTCTCAGATGCATTTATGCCTTGCAATCTCCATGGGAAGTTGGAATCTTATGATTCATGGCATCTCAGATTTGATGAAATATTGTAGGTTCCAGCTAGACTCAATGTCCTTTATGTTAAAAAAGGCTTTTGTATTTTATCCTCTACATAGTTGTAAGGGGAATAACTTTTAAGTGGAAAAATATCATTATTTGTTTAAATAATATAATTCGGTGATATTGTACAGGATTTATTGTGGCTAAAAAAATAGCAGCAGTGTAGGTAGGAATTTAGGCAAGGTCTGTAGAGGACCTAGTAAAAGGCAGCACCATTCGGGTGTTGTGGGGTTCCTGGTAGATGAACTGTTGGAACAAACCAGGAAGATGCAGTTATGACTAAGAATGGTGCTTATTGATGGAGAGAGAGGAATCACATATAAAGTTGAGGTTTCTGAATTTAAAAAGGGGATGATTGCTGTAACAGTTGACACTCATCAATAGTGTTTATTCTGGCACCAGATGTAACCAAATATTTTCGCTGACCAGAGGGCTAATCAATATCAGTATATCAATAAACAAGACAAAGTTTTCTCAGGATATTTTATGTAATATCTATGTCAGTGTATAATATTTGTAGGTTGTCTAACAAAATAATAATTATAGTATAGGTTTATGTTGGATGGAGCCTGAATTATGAGACACTTCAAAATTACTGACCAAAAAAAAAGAAAGAAAGAAGGAAAAAGTCATTCAGAATCTTTCATCCTAGCATCCATTCCAGGAAAAAGACATTGCTAACATTTGGAACAAAATAATAATCCTAGTATGGGTTAATCATAGTTTTTGGCCATAGACCAGCCCCCATCTTGTTCACATCTAATCGGACAAGTTCAAAGTAAATGCTTACTTAAATAGTATCTTAATTGTTTAAGAAGGGTGATACAGGGCTTCCCTGGTGGCACAGCGGTTGAGAGTCCGCCTGCCGATGCAGGGGACACGGGTTCGTGCCCTGGTCCGGGAGGATCCCACATGCCGCGGAGCGGCTAGGCCCGTGAGCTATGGCTGCTGGGCCTGCACGTCCGGAGCCTGTGCTCCGCAACGGGAGAGGCCACAACAGTGAGAGGCCCGCGTACCGCAAAAAAAAAAAACCAAGAGGGGACCAGTTGGGGGTGGAGAGACTGACATGGGGACAGGAGGATATTTTTTTGTGATGATGGAAATGTTTCATATTTTGGTTTTGGTGGTGGTTACATTACTGTATATATTGAACTGAACACTTAAAAAGTGTGAATAAAAAGAAACAACCAAGCAGCTCCCCTGTGCTTTTTCAAAGAAAAATAAACAAGTTCTAAGAGTTTTTATTGTTTGACTAATAATACACAAATCAGGCAGAGAAGTCCCTAATGAAATGATGGTCACGTTTTACTGTATCTGCCTGTTGATCCTTCATTTTCTAAGCACTTATTTTCTTTTTATATTAGACTTTTATTTTGATTACAAATGCCCCTGTGAATAAATAAATGCCTTGTCTTTTATCCCTCCCCCATCATTTTTCTTTAAATAGAAAAAGGGACAAATTTCTCCTAATTGCATATTCAGCCATAGTTGCCCAATCTGTGATTTTAATAAGAGACTGTAATTCAGTCTTCTAAATCATTTTACACTGTAATTGTAGGCTATACCTCGTTCTCCTAAAGAAACTTTTGGGTATCAGTCCTATTGATATTACTAATAATCTCCAAATGGTGAGGAGGGTAACTGGTATGGAGGCAACTGGAAGAGAGCTTGAGCAAACTAGATACCAATGGGAAATTGCACAGAGGCAAATTTTATTGCATAAACTAGAAGAATGGCCCTCATTGAGGCTGACCCAGCTATGGCCTCTGGTCCATTTCTTGCTGTCAGTTGGTATCAGTTGTGGTGGAGTTCTATCTTTCCCTCAGTTTTGAGCCGTATTGTAATCAGTTATGGAAAACAGACTCCCTCAAAGTCTGTTAAATGTAATTGAATATTACACTATCTATGATACCCATTGTGAAGATCCCACCCCAGTCATTCAGTTTTTGAAGGGTAAGGCTGTTGCCTGGATTCCTCCAGGACTTGCTCTTTGCTCCCTAATAAACTTTGATTAGTTCAGTATTTTACTGTCTAGAGAGAGTTAAATATCTATCATGTTTGTTGAGTATAAAACTTTATTGTGATAGACCTTAAAAAAATTGAATTTAATTAGCTTTAGTTGTTAGCTGTTAAATATTGTGGAAAAAAATCACATGATCTGGTTTCTTTTGTTATGTTTTATTTCATCCAATTTAAAAGTCATTCTCTTTTCTAAATGGCTTTGTGCTTCCTCTAAAATGTTGTCCTACATGTAATAGGCAAATCAGAGGTTTAATAAACTAGGATGTTAAGTTTATTTCCAAGGTAAAGTGAAGATATTTATTTTTATATTTGTGCATTTTATACATCACCTTTCATAAGTATTTCTAACTTGTACTGTATTTTGTGTTTTTTTTAGTGAAAATATTCTCTTTGGAATGGGAAATCCTCTTCTTGACATCACTGCTGTGGTGGATAAGGATTTCCTTGATAAGTAAGTATTAAGCTTTTCATATGTACTATGTGAAACTTACATCTAAAGAAAAACTGAAAATTTTAGAATTGAATTTACTGTTTAACATCTTCAATTGGAGGAAAATTCAGGAAATTTAAATCTGATAATAGCAATTGCACCATTATTATTTATTGAGTAATTGACCACAGTTTTCCCTGGGAAAACTTAGGTACATTTGTTCATTCCTGTTGCTACTTTCACTTGAAATTTATTTTTTTATTCTTTGCAAGGAAGAAGTATGTGAATAACCTAATGATTTAATTTCTACATTTTAAAATTACTGTCAGTGAACTAAATCTATAGTGGTGCCATAACATATGGGAGAAGGAATAGGATTAGAGAGGGCAAGAAGAATATGTAGGACTTAATTCAGACACCGTGAATCTCCACTATTTCCCCCTAGTAATAACTTTTGATGTTGTTAATTTAGCTGAGAAATCATTTTGTTTATTTATCTGTCTGTGATGATTTGGTGCAAGGAAAAAAAAGTACTAAAAAATATTTAATAATGAGAAATTAAGATCCCCTTCCCCTTGAACACCCCAAGTTCTATGCCCAGGGGCAACCACTTTTAAAAAAATATTATTCAGGTAAAATTTACTTAAAATTAAATCATAATTTTAACTATTTTAGAGTATATGATTCAGTGACTGCTAGGACACTTGCAGTGTTGTACAACCGTCACCACTATCTAACTCCAGGACATTTCATCACCCCCAAAAGAAACTCATAGCCATTAAGTGGTCATTTCAGTATTCCCACCTGCCCTCCCCACCTCTCCCCAATCTCCTGGGAGCTAGCAGTCTGTTTTCTGTCTCAATGGATTTGCCTGTTCTGGATATTTTATTTCATATAAGTGGAGACATACAATATGTGGCCTTTTGTGTCTGGCTTATTTTACTTAACATGATGTTTTTCAGTGCTCTTCCATGTGTCATCAAAACTTATTATTAGGGGGAAATAGTGGAGATACGTGGTGTTTGAATGGTAGATGGATGTTTGAATGGATACATGGTGTCCTACATATTCTTCCTGCCCTCTCTAATCCATGTTGTAGCAGGTATCAGTACTTCATTCCTTTTAAGGCAGAATAATACTCCATTGTTTGTATATACCACAGTTCGTTTATGCATTCATCAGTTGGTGGAGCCATTGGTTGATGGGCACTTGGATCGTTTCGGTTTTTAGCTATTATGAAGAAAGCTGCTGTGAACATTCATGTACAAGTTTTTGCATGGGTATATATTTTCATTTCTTTTGGGTATATATATTGGAGTGGAATTGCTAAGTCAGATGGTAATTTTGTGTTTAGCTTTTTAAAGAAGCGTATCCTTACCAAAACGTGGTCTTTTCCCTTTTTAAAATTATAACCATCCTGGGACTTCCCTGGTGGTCCAGTGGTTAAGACTCTGTGCTTTCATTGCAGGGGTCATGGGTTCGATCCCTGGTTGGGGAACTAAGATCCCACATGCTGTGTGGCATGGCCAGAAAAAAAAAAGGAGAAAAAATAAAATTATAGCCATCCTAGTGGGTGTAAAGTAATATTGTGGTTTTGATTTACATTTTTCTAATTACTAATGATGCTGAGCATCTTTTCATGTGCTTATTGGCCATTTGTATATCTTTGGAAAAATGTGTATTGCAGTTCTTCACCCATTTTTTAATTTGTTTTTTGTTGTGGTTGTAAGAATTCTTTATATCTTTTTTTTTTTTTTTTTTTTTTTTTTTTTTGCAGTACGCGGACCTCTCACTGTTGTGGTCTCTCCTGTTGTGGAGCACAGGCTCCGGATGCGCAGGCTTAGCGGCCATGGCTCATGGGCCCAGCCGCTCCGTGGCATGTGGGATCTTCCCGGACCGGGGCATGAACCCATGTCCCCTGCATCGGCAGGTGGACTCTCAACCACTGCACCACCAGGGAAGCCCTATATATTCTTAATACTAGACCCTTAATAGATTTATGATTTGCAAACACTTTCTCCTATTCTGTAGGTTATTTTGACTTTCCTGAGAGTATCCTTTAATGTGTAAGTTTTAAATTTTGATGAAGTCCAGTTTATTTTTTTTTTGTTGCTGTGCTTTTGCTGTCATATCTGAAAATCTGTTGCTAAATCTAAGGTCACAATGATTTATGCCTATGTTTTCTTCTAGGAGTTTTAGTTTTAGCTCTTAAATTTAGAGCTTTGATTCATTTTGAGTTAATTTTTGTATCAGATGTCTGGTAAGGGTTCACTTCATTTTTTTGTGTGTGGAAATCTAGTTGTCCCCACACCATTTGTTGAAGAGAGTTCCCTTTTCTCCATTGAGTGGTCTTGGTCCTCTTAAAAATATGTTGACCAGGGCTTCCCTGGTGGCGCAGTGGTTGAGAGTCCGCCTGCCGATGCAGGGGACACGGGTTTGTGTCCTGGTCCGGGAAGATCCCACATGCTGTGGAGTGCCTGGCCCCGTGACCCATGGCCGCTGAGCCTGTGCGTCCGGAGCCTGTGCTCTGCAACGGCAGAGGCCATAACAGTGAGAGGCCCGCATACCGCAAAAAAAAAAAAAAAAAAAATCGGTTGACCATAGGTGTTTGGGTTAATTTCTGGCTTCTCGGTTCTATTCCATAAGTCTGAATGCTTGTCCTTATTCCAGTACCACACTGATTTGATTACTGTAGGTTTGTAGTAAGTTTTGAAGCCAGGGAGTGTGAGCCCTCCAACTTTTTTGTTGTCTTTCAAGGTTGTTTTGGCTATTCAGAGTCCCTTGCAATTCCATGTTACTTTTAGGATCACCTTGTCCATTAACTGTAAAAAAGGCAGTTGGAATTTGGAATGGGATTGCACTGAATCTGTAGATCAGTTTTAGAAGCATTGCCATTTTAACAATATTAAGTCTTCCGATTCATGAACAGGAGATGTCTTTCTTTAAGTTGTTTCAACAGTGTTTAGTAGTTTTAAGTTTAGAAGTCTCACATTTCCTTGGTTAAATTTAATCCTAAGTATTTCATTATTTTTGATGCTACTGTAAATGGAATTGTTTTCTTAATTTCATTTTTGGATTATTCATTGCTAGTACATAGAAATACAACTGATTTTGGGGGATAACTATTTTTAACAAATTCTGTTTTTTAATGTCTTGGAGATTATCTTTATAACTCTTCATCTGTATAAATTCAAGTGTCAGAGGATCAGGCAAGAATTTATAAATGTGTAAATTTTCCCTATTGTAATATAATAGGAAATAGGTTGAGGCGCCAAGGACAAACTGGAGAATGTGTCTTATCCTAAGAAATTCAGATACAAATTTTTAAAATATACTTCGCTAATCAGAAACACTCCTGCATACAATTATGTTAATGGCTTTACTTCTGATTGCCTTGTACTTTTAAATGATATAATATACACACATTAAAATATTTTCTTGTATCAACTTTCAGTAGAATCCTTAGACTTCTCATTATATAGAATTAGAAGTGCCTCTATTCTTCCATCTGCTACTTCGCTCCTTTTAAGTTCTGTTAACCTTCTACTTTAACTCCTGACTCTAACTTCTACTCTTTTAACTTTCTACTTTCTAACTTCTGTTTAACTATATTTTTTATTTTAATAAAGATTGATATGTTTTCATTCTGTTAGCTATCTATAATTGTCTTACCAACTTTGAATACAAAGTGGTAGTGAAGATTGAAAATCACTTAAACATACTTAATACTAGTATACTAGTATCACTGTATTTATCCCTTTTTTCAGAATTAAATAGTATACTAAGAATGTAGAGTAGGTGTAACATTTGGAATGTAATTAGAGCACTTAATTCTATTAACAAACTAAAGAAAGAAAAATCACATTGTCATCTCAATAGATAGAAAAACCATTTGCCAAAACTACTATCTATTCCTGATAGATTCCTTATAGCATTCTTAGAATAGACGGGAACTCCTTTAACCTCATAAAATTTAGGTTAGGGAAAAGCCTACTAATAACATAATTCCTAATGGTGAAAGTCTGCATGCTTTCCCCTAAGATCAGAAACAATTCAAGGATGTCCGCTCTCACCACTTCAAAATGTATACAGTGGTCTTGAAGATTCTGTTCAGGACAATCAGGCAAGAAGAAGTAAAAGACATCCAGGTTGCAAAGGATGGAATAAACTGTTTTTATTTCCAAAAGGCATGATCATTTATGTAGAATAACTGATGGAATCTACAAAAAAAGCTACTACCTGATTTCTAGAATTATTATAAAGCTACAGTAATCAAAACAGTGGTATCAGTGTAAAGTTTGATAGCATAGGATAGAAAGTCCAGAAATAGACCCACGCAGAAATGGACGACTGATTTTTTTTTAATTAATTAATTTTTGGCTAGGTTATGTCTTCGTTGCTGCACACGGGCTTTCTCTAGTCACAGTGAACGGGGGCTACCCTTCGTTGCGGTGCGTGGGCTTCTTATTGCCGTGGCTTCTTGTTGCGGAGCACAGGCTTCAGTAGTTGTGGCATGCGGGCTCAGTAGTTGTGGCTTGCAGGCTCTAGAGCGCAGGCTCATTAGTTGTGGCGCAAGGGCTTAGTTGCTCAGTGGCATGTGGGATCTTCCTGGACCAGGGCTCGAACCCGTGTCCCGCTTTGGCAGGCGGATTCTTAACCACTGTGCCACTAGGCAAGTCCCTGGACGACTGATTTTTGACAAAGGTACAAGGCAGTTCAGTGGAGAAAGGATTGTCTTTTCAACAAACAGTGCTTGAACAATTGGTTATCAACATGCATAAAAATGAATTTGGATCTGTATTTTGTACCATATACAAAATTAACTGATAGACCTAAATGTCAAGCCTAAAAGTATAACACTTCTGGATGATAATATAGGAGAAAATCTTTGTGACTGTGGTTTAAACCAGAATTTCTTAAATGTAGAACACCAGAAGTATGTTCTATAAAAGAAAAATTGATAAGCTGGACCTTTTCAAAATGAAAATTTTTACTATTGGAAAGACACTGTTATAAGAATT